TCGGAATGAGGTGATTTAAGATTTGTTGGAAAGCTGTTGAAGAGACCTACAACTTTGGTCTTTTGAGTTTTTCCAGATTCTAATTATTAAAGGGTGTAAATGAAATGTTTTAAGACCCACTCAATATCTATAAACTCTAATGGCTAACATAGGGGGTTTCTATTGTTAACCAACACACTAAGAACGTGTTAGTGTGTTCTAACACTATGTGTGTACATGTGTGTGAGTGATCAAGGCTTGTACAAATTTCTAAGCAAAGAAAATATAAAATTATATTTTGACAATAAAGTATATCTTCTTCTTTGCTTTATTTTGCCTTGAACTCATCTATGCTTTGAGTATCTCTTTGAATATAATTATTGATATAGCTCTGATACTGCAAAACAAATATTAGCACATAATACACACAACATATAATATTTGTTATCATCAAAATAAACTAATCTTGGGGTCAAAATTCCTAACATTCTCCCCCTTTTTGATGATGACAAATATATGTTATTAAGATATAAAAATTTTAATCCCCCTGCATAAAATCATTAAATAAAATCTTTTACTCCCCCTGCATCAAAGCATTAGTAAAAAAAATTTAAAATTTTCTATATAACTCCCCCTTTGTCATTAACAAAAAGAAATAAACATAATTTTAGTTAAATTTTTATTTTCTCAGGTACCTTAATAAAAATATTAAGCATTTTAGTACCCTTTTATATTATATCGATCATTAGGATTAGCCCTTAGGAATCCAAATCCACATGGAATTTGGTTTCCATTTATTAACATAAGTGTAATTCTTTGAATTGCAAACTTCATACATATAAGATAAAATATAATCATTCCTATCATGAATATTCAAATTCTTAGGAATCCATATATACTTATTTTGTTTAGCATGAGTATTCTTATTATATCCTACGTGGCCATGAAAAATCTGATCTGGAGGCGGTGTAAAACTTTTCCACTGAGTTAAAAAACGAACCAAACAGCCCCTAAGGATAGTGATCTCTTTGGGTGAATTTTAGAAATTCCACTAAACTTTGAGGTGATTTGAGAAAACGATAGCATGGAAGAATGTGACAATGTCTCATTAAGCAATTATTTGGTTCATTAATGAATTTTCCTATTCTCATTCACTTTCTAGTTATTTATCTATTTTTATTGTTATTTTTAATATTTTTAATCTTTTTAATTACATGCAAATTTTCCATATTTTTTCCCTGAAGTGTTATTATTTTTACAAGGCAACTTTACATTTGCTGAAGTACCGACAAATCATCCGTAATCCTCTAAATCACTTTTAGAGGGTAAGTAAGCAACAATTAAGTGGTGAATTCTTGTGGGTTATTTAAGCGTTTAATGTTGACATGCTTACCACATGATCATTTCTCATATGTGAGAAATATTGAAGGCCTTCCTTTGTTCTTGTTCAATTATGGTGATCACAAACTCCATTGCATTTATGAAGCTGCAAGCAGTGGATGTGTTTATCTAATCAAAACTCTGCTAGAAAAGAATTGCATGAGTTTCAATTAAAGCACGATTAAGTAAAATTTTACGGTAAAATGGTTATGTCCCTTTCGTCAGCTGTTCCCTCGATTTTGAGGAAAATATCTAGTCTTTAGTAATTTGTGCCGGGTTGTGCCCGATAGTTTCATTTCATAAATGTATCCTAAGGCCTTTACTTTAATTCATATTGTTCCGGCTACAAAGGGAAAGGGAAGTGAAGCTTTGAAGCTTCTGTCATTTAGTTATTAATTGTTTTTTCTTATTTAGATATTCCAATGACATGTGTTTAGATCTAATAAACGCACAAGGTAATTTGTTTCCACATATCAAAAGAATTAAGTTAATAGATAAAATTAATTTTGAGCATCCATGTACTTTCAAAGAAACTTTGTACGTATAAGGCCTATTACATCATACAGATAATTAAGTGTTAATCTACTACGAGGGGCCGGCATGTGTCCCTTATTAGCTCAATACCGAATCAGCCTCATATTATGCAAGACGACTCGAATGGCTTCAACACTTGATCTTTCCCAAGAAGGGGAGTCGAAAGACGTCCTCATTCGAACTCATCATTTGAGTCGACCCTACTCCTCTTCACCCTACGAGGTCGGGTTAAAAACTTTCGAAGCCGAGTAAAAAGGAGGTACTTATCGGCCTGCCAGCAAGAGACCCAAGTGAAAGACGTCACTTGTCAACCATGTCAAAGAAGACGAGTAGAAAAGCGGATGACCATAATCATCATTGCTCTAGGCCCAAAAGTCTTTGTGACTCATCGGACATCGTCAGCACCACGCCCACCTAGTCAGCATCATATTGAATGCCTGAGTGACTCATTCCCTTCTACAGTCGACACCTATAAAGCAGCCGGCACCTGAGCCGCCTGCTTGGACTTAGCCGGAGTTACTCTTCTGCCCCTTGGATTTGCTATAAAGGAAAAATGATGTCTACTACATAGATAAGCTGACTTAGATTGGAAAACACCATAAATTCACTCTATTTCTTTGCCACTCAAGGTTAACATTAACTTGATCGTCGGAGGAACCACAAGAGATCCCAACTCCGACCCTCTCACATGTTGTTCATGTGCATGACTGGATTCTCTGCTAAATAACCTTCCGTTTGAAGGAGATTAAAGGACCCTAGTATCCTACATCATCCCACCTAACTCTCTATTAGATAACATACATCAACAAGTTGTAAGTTATCATTCATTTCTTAGAATCTAAATTGTTAAGTTGGGTAAGTACTGTAGGGATTATTGCCAAGCTCTTATGTATTCCTTTATTTTCACGCTAATGTCTTGAGCTTTTTATCACTGATCGAACCTGAATCACTGGATAGCTGGCGAAAAGGGTAAAAAAGATTGAAGCATTATGGCTTGTTTCCAATTTCATTTACTCTTTTGTATATTATCTCAAAGCTTATTGCAAGGACCAATCTCCGCTGCTGGCAGCCGTTTTCTCTGCACTCTGCGACAACAGCCTATTAATTAGCTAAAATTTATTTTATTTTTAACTTTGATATGTCTCAATATTTTATTTTCCAGTTTTTCTCCCCAAAAAGTATTTCAATGTTCAACAAAATTTAATTTTGTTACCCTCATTTGTCATGTGATTTTTTGGACAAATGTACCTTTGAACTGAAAAGAAACTCCCATCCCATTCTTCACGCTTCAACCATTGAACATTTTTTTTAAAACTATTAAACATTAAATACATA